TATTTTCACATTAATTAACTCTGTTTATGAAAAAAGTCATCTAAAGCTATTGAACCTTACAATGAAAAAAAGATCATTGTAAACATTTTACACAACAAATAATTGAAATTTAGCAATAAAAATACTTTCTGCCGTTTATTTTTCGAAAACTAATTCCATTTTTAGTACTTTGTACAGAAAGTAAGTTTTTCATGAGAGCAGCCATATTGAATTAGAGCAAAGCTCGACAACGAAACTAGCTAGCACTTCGAGCTTACCAATTTCTCTAAACATGACGTCACATATCTCTAAAGTAAACGCCAATGAGCATGGCACTCGGATGAAAGTATACAGGCTGAGCGTGCTGTTAGTAAAATTAGCTCAGAAGTAAACGCACCCAAGCGACCGTGCTTGTGAAGTCGTGAATTGTTTACTGGAGCGAACGACTGATGGAAAACGGAAGCAAAGTATCTTTATCTTTGTTAAACGTTGCAACTTTTCATTACACTTAATTGTATAAATCCATATATATATACAGTATTTAATAAAACTTTATTAGTTTTGTATAATACAAGGAATGTGTTGCGATTTTATATATAAAAATAAAAAAGTAGCGTATTTTTAAGATTCGTAGCCTGAAGATAATTATCACTAGCCCAAAAAGTAGCGTGTCGCCCAATTTGAAATTTTTGTAGCGAAAGCATTTAAAAAGTAGCCCAATCCGCTACTTGTAGCCCAATCTGGCAACCTGTACTAGGCAACGCATCCATCTTATTTGCGACGAAAGACGGAAATTTTTGAAAATAAACTGGTTGCGCCACCTGTTATTCCAAAATCACACCTATGAGTTTTTAAAGGAAAATATTCCCGACGAAAAGGTAGGACGCAAGTTTTACCTCTACGTGTACTGTACGTATATATGATACTAAACAAGTTATCGCACATTTTTGTTTAATGCGGTAATTTAGATCTCTATAAACACGAAAAATTCATATATTTTGAAAAGAGTATTAAATCTTGTTAAGAATAAGAATTCATCAACAGTATGATTTAAAACTTTTTAAAGTTATTGTTTCCATCGTTAAAATAACCCTACAGAAATAATTAATCCATCCGAATTTTCCTTACCAACATATTTACCTTTTTTATTTAAAAAATGAGTTTCATCTAAGTAGATTATAACAGAATGAAACAAATAATATTTGAAAAATTGAGGAAGAATGTGATAACTGTAAAATTCAATTTTGTGATATATTATAAATAATCCATAAATCTAATTCATTACCTTCCACTTTATTGAATTCTCTAAATTATGGAGATTAAATAATTATTGTGAATGTAATTTATAAATCATATTAACTATGATTCTTAATATAATGAAAAAGTTGTAATGAAACATAATTATATGTAATTATTATATTTATTGTACAATTTGTAATTTATAACATGAATACGTTTCTTATTTTATGAGGAAAATGACTAATTTTATATCTTTGAAATAGGTTAATGTGTAATTACTTTTTGGTAGTTAACTGATTGCCCTAACTTTTTAACTTTTATTTATCATTTTAATGTAATTGCAATCTATGGTTAAAAAAGAACTTGTATCAATTTTTTATGGTGTATTAGAGCCGTGGTTCTCAATCTGTGGTCTGTAGAACATGGGTGCTCCATGAAGCCACTTTAAGTATTCTGTGAAAAAATCAAATATACAATTAAAAATTATTGCAAAAGAAAAATCAATACAATGTAAAATGATTTTTGTATGGGAATGTAATCAGCAAATGCCAATGGTGTCTTATACTATGTTACGGTAAGATCTAGCAACACCAGAGAGAGAGGGACGTGCAAGACAGATGGCCCTGACTAATGTATAAAGAGTGGAGATCACCCAGTCCAAGTAGGACCCCAAATAAAGCATTTAACCATTTAAACCCGAGCATTTAACCCAAATAAACCAAGTGCGCTCTTGATTTCAAAAAGGTTTGCCACCTCTGCTTTTAAAGCTGACGTATTTTAAGTGTTCCGTGGAAAAAATTGTCAAAGTTTAGTATTTCCTGACTTCAAAAACATTGAGAACCATGGTATTAGAGCAGAGCCGGCCCTACCATAGGGCGAACGGAGCAGCCGCTCCAGGCGCTAAGTCTTAGGGGGGGCGCTTCAGTGGTAAAGAAAATTAAAGGGTATAAATTAGGGGCAACCAAGTGGGGCGCTATAATAGGATCTCGCTCCATCCTAAAACTTGCCTCGGGCCGGCACTGTATTAGAGTATAATCTTAATTTAAAAGTATTTAATTTATTTCTGTTAATGAGACAATTTGATTTTATAACTAAAAATTAATATTAGAGTTCATTTTAGAATCTTGATAGAAACTTGTTTGGCTGTTTGAAATTGAGCAGTTTAATATTTTAATTTTTACATTGCAAAATGTTTACTGATATTGCATTTTTAATAAATCTTCAAAATTATTTTAAACATTTTCTAATACAAATTTATTTTCAGATGTTTTTGGTAGGTTTGACTGGTGGAATTGCTACGGGAAAAAGTACAGTAGCATCTATGTTTCAAGAATTTGGCATTAAAGTTATTGATTCAGATGTCATTGCTAGACAAGGTACAAAACCAAAGTATAATATGCAAAGTTTCTATCTTCATTTAAAAAATATTGATACAGTTTGAATTTAAACATTTAATTTTTGAAAACCAAATTCAAAATTATTATGAAAGACGTATAAAATTTATATATAAATAATCTTCTTCTATAAGTTGAATCTTCTTTATATGTTCTCAATACATAAACATTTATTTATTATTAATTTTATTTATAATCTTTTTGTATTCATAAGATTTTCTTTAACTTATTTCAAGTATTAAATGTCCAACTCACTAAGTGTTTAATATAGTTTTTAATAACAACCTTAATCATTCTGAAACAGTTAATAATTATTATGATTAATTTTTAAAGTTTTTTTGAATATTAAAACTTAATGTATTTTTTACTCTAAAACTCTTTTATTACAGTTGTTGAACCAGGAACTATTGCATGGAAGAAAATTAAAAATGAATTTGGGAGTGAGGTTATTTTACCAGATGGAATGATTGACAGACAGAAATTAGGACAAATTATTTTCTCAAATTCGGAATTAAGAAAAAAGCTAAATTCTATTACTCATCCAGAAATATATAAAACAATTTTTTGGGAATGTCTAAAATTATTTTTATTAGGTAAATTTTATTTTATTTCCAATTCCTGTTTAATTTCTAAAATTAAACTATTTAAGCATATAATATGCTATTCTCAGAGACTAAAATTTTTCATTAAATGAAAATAATGAACATAATACAAT